CACACCATAAAATTTGTTAATACACCCACATATTTATTAAAAAATATTTATTAAAACACACTAAACACTTATTAAAGCACAGTAGGTAATACAGGAACAAGCACAATATCGATAAAGTAAACCCTTGACTCGTACCGGTAAGTGTTGACAGGGCCGATCCGACCTCCTCGACTTCCAAAACAAAACTGAGAAGCGGCGACCTCTTCAAGTGTAAGTGCGATTGGTAGATTACAGCAGCCAATTAGACATCACGAATTGCACCAATAGATCGAATTCAAGTGTATGAGTGATTGGTAGTGTACAGTAGCCAATTAGAGATCATGTAATCCACCAATAGCGTGTAACCACTCTCATTGGATGTTGTATTATTATTTTAACATTAATTTTTTTATAATTTCATATTTTTCGACTGTTTATTAACAAATTTATTGCTGGAATTATTTAAATTTATTAATTTTTTTTAACTTAATCTTGCAGATATGTTGCAAAATGATTATTTATTAATATACATATCGCGTTACCGACACTCGACTTGTAGGGACCACGTTAGAAATTGGTCGTCGAAACGAAATTAATCAGTTTATCGGTAAAATCGAACGTCGAGTTTCTTTACGCTCGTTTATCGAAATGTCGTCGTAATTTTCCAGCTCCTTGTACGTACACGTTTTCCTTCGAATCTCGTTAGCTCGGCAATTAATAAATTTAATCGCCTCGATGCACGGCATTCGCTCCGTAATTCGTAACAACCGTATCTCGACGAGCAATTAGTTGTAAACACGCGTTTCATTTGCACCTACATATGTTTCTCTCGAAATCTGTTATCATTTCGACGATTATTCGTTCGATTCTATAATACGAATACGCGTTACGTCGTAATTAACGAGCGATAATTATGTACGCGATGGAACGCGTCAGGAAGTTTTCGGTAATCGCGAGGGCGAATTAACGAGGTATCGATTCGATCGAGGATAGAATTTTTCGCTTTCTCTTTCCAGATACGGTGGTCCAGACTCTTATCAGGTCACCGAGAAGTTTAACGTGGATTGGGGCACTTATCTCGTGACAAACAAGAGCATCATCTACGCGACCATCGACGGCCGTGGTTCCGGATTAATGGACAACGGTATGCTGTTCGCCGGATATCGAAATCTTGGGACAGTCGAGATAGCCGATCAGATCAACGTTACCAGGTACATCGTCCCGAAACGCTTATTCTCGTATTATTCGGAAAATATTTTAGCGACGAACAAATAATTCCTAAAGCTATTCCTTAAGCGAACCAACGTTTCGGGTAAACGCGGCCTGGAAAGCTGCTCGTAATTTTCTCTCGTTCGTTCTCCATGAAATATCGCGATCCGAATGTCGGTAGCTCTCGACGTCGGGGTTAAAAATGCAAATGATTTTTAAATGTCACAGTGGCGCGTCGTCGTCGAAAGCGTTGTTCGAACGCTTTGATCGCGGGGCCAATACTAATTTCGTTGTACCGGCTCTCTATTTACATGTAAAATGTCCCCGACGCAATTTATCGGGTTCCGGCATGTTTTAAATGCAAAAAGACGCGGATTGGCCCTGTTGTTCGTTGCATTTTTAATGCTGTCCCGTCAACAAATACGACCCAGACATCGATTCGATATTTAACCCCGTAACGTTTTTTCCCCGGCCAACGTCGAGATAAGTCAATTTATGACGAGTCCGTAATCGCGTTTTCCTTTTTTTGCTTGTTCATCCGCGGTTGATTTATTCGAGAGCGTGGCACGAATATGATCGATGTCCCGATCGAGTGGAATATTTAAAAAATATCGAGCAACCCGATAGCCGATCACGATGACGGGTGATCTCGGGTAACGAAAGGACTTGGAAATTTCGGAGAGATAGTTGGGGAACGGTTTAGCGCGCAACTTCGAGGACAAGGACGAGCAAATTCTGCACCAGGATCGTTTGGAGAACCGATCGAGCGAGAGAGAGAGAGAGAGAGAGAGAGAGAGAGAGAGAGAGAAGTTTGCAACTCTTGGAATATTGCATGTAGGTCTTCGGATCCGACCATTAAGGTGCTTAAGGACCGCTCGGTATCGTCGAGAAACGTTCGTTACAAAGTTGGATCTTTCGGCTCGAACGTTCGAGGTGTTTGCACGCGAGCGTCGATTTCCTAACGTAACGCAACGGGCCAGCAAAAAGCGAAATTACTCTCGAAACGAAAACGGTGCTTTCAGCCAACCAGAACTGGTCCGTCGATGGAACGAGCTCGGGATTATGCAAGTTTGTTAGTCGAGTTACCGGACTACCGCCCATCGATAAGTCGAGCAGTTGACGCGAACGCTATCGGATCGGATACGTCGAATCGTAATAATTAGATGGAATTAGATGGAATATAAAGTCGAGAGATCGAAAGAAACACCGACTAAAGCTGGAAAAACGCGTCACGAACCTCCTCGACGTTTTACCGTGCTCTTTGTTCTCGGCTGACAGTTGGGATCACGGGGAATAAAGAGAAAGAGAAGTAAAAGAAAGAAAAATACAGGACATTTGAATTTCGAGGCTCGAAAATGTGGGAAACGGGAACAGGAGGAAAAACGAGGCTGTCGTTTCTGCGTCGTTAATTTTGCACGCGTCGCGGTTTCGTTTCGCGCGTCGGAAAAGCTTGAAAAGTTTTTCGCCTCTTTTCCCAGGCGATCGTTATCTATCGGAGCGACGACCGGAGATCGCGTACAACATTGCGTGTTCCATTTTTGGTCGAGCTATACGCGAACAAACGAGCGTCTGCTAACGGGGAAACGACGCGTTCCGAAGTTGGACGCTCGCTCGTTCGACGAGCGGCTACATACGTCGTTCTTATTAAGTCGTCGCGCGTACCCGTGTTTCGGCGAATTTTACAACCGCGCAAGTTTCGCGAGAAGCTTTTACGTACCGACGGTTATCGATCGCGTTCGCGTATCCTCACGCAGAATCGTCGGTGAAAAGCAGCGAACGGATGCGAGAAGACGCGCGACAGGAAGATGGTGTGCCGATACCGATAGCCAACCCTTGCTCTGTCCCTACACCGACCCTGTGTATCCACGTTGCAATGTTTTGCTGGCGCACACCCCGTGTCCGTTCCGTTCCGTAAAAAGCGAGTCGTGAAATTGGAAGCCGGCCAAGCGCGATTGCGGAATTGGC